CCCTGCACAATCCGTATAGTTGTGGCTGGCTTTGTCTCTGTGGTTGTTGTGGTTTTGGCTTTCTGGTCGGCTACAGAAACACCGAGAGCGGGCATCAATCTGAACCCAGGACCTCCAGGCTCTGCCATCTTCATTTCAGGTGCCACCTTGATGGCTGTAGGTGTCGGGGGAGAAGGGGACGACGGGTTGGATGTCATATGTAAAAGTCCTTTGCTGGAGCTGCTGGGAGGTGCAGCCGAGAAAAGTTCCTGGGAGAGCTTGACAGCTGTGACCTGGGATTTGGCCAATGTCGCCATCATGTCGGGTGTGATGCGCAATATAGTCTGACCCTTAGCATCTGTGGTGATGGAAGAAGGGGGAAGCCGCAAAACATCCTTTCCCTGTATGCGCAGATTGGTGGTAGGAAGTGTAGGCTGGGCCTTAACACCAAGCTGTCCAGATATTGCAACCTGGCAGAGGGAAGAGAAAGACTGGTAAGATGGCAAACAGACAACACATGAGATTCAAAGCTGACAGACCAACAGCAGCCAAAAACATTTGTTTCTGGGGATAGATTGGAGAGTATAAAATGGATGACAGTGCCAAAAGGTTTAGTATGAGTCCAGTAAGTCTTTGTTGCACATACAGAAAATAACCTTTGTATAATTTTTTTTTTTTTTAATGTCTTAAATAGACAAGACAATGCAAATGAAGCACCCACTCCCTAAGATACTGAATATTTATAAACATATTATTAATATGTGTATCTACAGCTAGTGGCTACATTGGTATTCCATGCCATACACTCCCCATTTCCCTGCATCCCCCAACATACAGTTAGGTCCATATATACTTGGACACAGGCACAATTTTAAAATTTTCGGCTCCGTATGCCACCAGAATGAATCTAAATTAAACAATCCAAATGAATATTAAGTGCAGACTTTCAGCTTTAATTCAAGGGGTTGAACAGAAGTATCAAAGTACAAATTTTAGGAACTGTGACCATTTTTATACACAGTCCCTCCATTTTCAAGGGCTCAAATGTAAATTGGACAAATGAATAGAATCATAAATAAAATGTGAATTTTTAATATTTTGTTGAGAATCCTTTACTGGCAATGACTGCCTGAAGTCTGGAACCCAAGGACATTATCAAAGACTGGGTTTCCTCCTTTCTGATGCTTTTCCAGGCTCTAACTGCAGCTGTCTTCAGTTGTTCTTTGTTTGTGGGTCTTTCTGCCTTTAGTTTTGCCTTCAGCAAGTGAAATGCATGCTCAATTGGGTTGAGATCAGGTGATTGGCTTGGCCATTGCAGAATATTCCACTTCTTTTCCTTCAAAAGCTCCTGGGTTGCTTTTGAAGTGTGTTTTGGATCGTTGTCCATCTGTACTGTGAAGCTCCATCCAATCAACTTTGCTGCATTTGGCTGAATCGTGAAATCTTCTCTTGATTGTAGACTTTGGCAATGATACGCCCACCTCCTGGAGAGTGTCCTTCACTTGTCTGGACGTTGTGAATGGGTTTTTCTTTACCATAGAGAGGATCCCGCGATCATCCACACAACTGTTGTCTTCCGTGGACGTCCATTCCTTTTTATGTTTCTGAGCTCACGAGTGCGTTCTTCTTTAATCAGAATGTACCAGACTGTTGATTTGGCCACTCCTAATATTTCTGCTATCTCTCTGATGGATTGGTTTCCTTTTTTGAAGCCTTACAATGGCCTGTTTCACTTGCATGGGCAGCTCCTTTGTACGCATGATGTAGGTTCACAGCAATAGATTCCAAATGCAAATACCACACTTAAAATCAACTCCAGACCTTTTACCTGCTTAATTGATGAAGAAATAACGAAGGAGTAGCCCACACCTGGCCATGAAACAGCTTTTGATTCAATTGTCCAATTACTTTTGGTCCCTTGAAAAAATGGGGATGACTACTCTTAAGAGCTGTAATTCCTAAACCCTTCCTCCAATTTGGATGTACATACCCTCAAATTAAACTTGAGAGTGTGCGCTTTCAGCCCATATCCATTATATAACTATAGCTTGAACATGTTTTGGTAAATACCTGAAAAAAAAACTAAAAAAAAAAAAAAAAAAAAGTGTGCCTGTGTCCAAATATATATGGACCTAACTGTAGCATAGCACAGCGTCCCCACACCCCCTCCCCTCAATATAGCATAGCGTTCCCACACCCCCCTGAAATTACCATGCTTCCCTGCGTCCTCCCGACATATCACAGCATTCCCACGCCCTCCCAACATCATATAGGGTCTCCACACCCCGACATCATACCATTTTCCCTGCATCCCCAACATCACACTGTATCCTTGTATCCCCTGACATCAGAGTATCCCCATACACCTTAACATCACACAATGTCCCCACACACTTTACATCACCCAGTGTCCCCCAAAAACACTGCCCCCCCCCTAGATCACATAGTATCCGCAAAACCCTCAACATTATCTACAGTTGCCTGAGATCAAACAGTATCTCCCACATTCCCCAACAGCACACGGTGTTCCTGTATCCCCTGGCATTACATGGTGTCCCTCTCAGCTCCTGACATCATACAGACAAAACAAATTATGGAATATCTTTCTACCATAAATTACCTGTTTGATGATGTTCTGTCCTGTGATGCTCTGCAGTATTGTGGGTGTTGAACTTGCAGGGGTACTGACCACTGGTTTGGCAGTAACCATTGTAGGTGCAGTGAGAGCAGTCACAGCAATGGTTCCAGGAGCAGTTACTGTGATGGCTTGGCGTGGGACACTAGAAGCTGGCTGCGTCTTCATCGGCATCGTCACCACCTGGGGAGAGAAAAACAAATTATAATCCAGCTGGGATAATTAACCTGCTACATTATTATAAGTCAGCTGGGCATTGCACTCCTACCTGGGCTATTGCTTTAGTAGTGGGAGTTGTGACAGGCATCCTGATGTGCGATACAACGGGAGAAAGAGGCTGGGTGACAATAGCTGGCGGAGCAGCAGCTGGAATAGCAGCAGAAGCTGTCACAATCCGCACTTGTGGGACTGGAGGAGTGGAGGACAATGTAGGGTTCCTGACAGGGGGCGGGGGGTCACAGTAGTCACCTGAGTTGTCACAGATGGAGCCAGCAGAGTGCTGAGCTGGGGCATGGTGGGTGGGGACACCAATAGGACACTGTGGACACAAAACACACACTATTACTTTTGTTGCACAACTGGATAAGATGAGGAACTCCAACTGTGGGTTTCTTACCTCGGACTGGATTTTGGAGACTCTGGGATGTTGCTGGGAATAATCTTACTGACTGCAGCAGATGTGGGGGACATTGGCATTGCTGGAAGTGCCGGTGTAGTCGGTGTGCTAGGTGTACCAGGTGTTGGTGGCATACTACACTCATTCAGGTTAAGCTGAACCGGTTCAGGCGTGCTGCTGCCCTTCACCATAAACTCCTTGTTGCCGGATTTCTGCACATAAACCAGAATTAAAAAGAATCCTGACCAGCCAGGAATATGGAAAATGCCTTAGCTGTTTTCCCTGGTTGACTCAGAATATATGACCATAACATACATTGCCTATACTATACAAGTTTCCAGTGAAGTCCAATCCCCTGATCTGCAGATTTCTAGTGACTTAAACCCAAACTTCATGCAGAACAATAATTCTACTAATCCATAAAGTAATGCCTGCCTTTACCCAAATTGGCAGCAGAGCTCTCAAAAGCCCACCACAAGCTTTCATGTATTCCACCCTGGCCAGCGATTTTGGTTTTTAGCAACTGGTCACTGCTGTTTACCGTTGATTGAACAGGGGACTGATCAAATAACGGTTGCTTTCAGCACAGAAGTCATGCTTGTAAAAATTGAGGCTGCTCTGCACATCTGACCACTCTTAATGGGCAGCATATTCCAATGAGAAGGGAAATTGCAGATCTGGGGACACAGGAAAACAGAATTTTCCTGTCACCGCCCACAGAGACACCAATGCACATCACTGCATGCCCACAGATGAGACATGTCATTCTAATTGGTGCACGTATAACCATCAAACTTAACATAAGGCATCTCTCGCAGGACCCTTCTCCGGGAAAGATCAGCAATGTTAGCCACAGTCGATGACAACAGAGCTTTTAAAAACATAAAACTTTCTGGTGACAGGTTAATTTTAAAAACAGTAAAAGGGGTTATGAACTGAGCTTAGACAAAGGGAACATTGGGTGCAATAGTAGCATCAACAAGTTCAGATTTAAAGCACTGCATTTCGTGAAATATAACAGCCAGGGAACTAGCATTTCAGGAGGTCAATCTGTTGATGTAATTCCACCTAAATATAAAACATTATGCAGAGGCATTCTTATTCTTTATAAGCACAGGGTCATGATATCAGGACAATGACCGCACACCTTCAGTGCCAATGAGGACATACCACATACAGAAGGGGGCAGACAGCCTCAGACACACTATTAAAAACTGCAAGCCCATCTCTTCATAACCAATTACGATTGTTTTCCTACGCTAAAATATCTAACTTCTATCCAACTTTTTTTTTTTTTTAGTTTTGGATTAGGGGAGAAAGATTAGAATATCTATAAGGTTTCTGTTGTGGTCTTGATCATTGTCATCAGGACTGAAATGGAGTTGTCACTAAAACAGATGGTGAGGAGAAATCTTCCAGTGGGGACACTTATTTTGGTGACTGTATAAGAGGGAATTTCCTTCTTGGAGAGATTTCCTCTCACTCCCTGTTCAGTCTGAAGTGTTGAGCGTGCCAACAATCTCCATGCACAGGGTCTAACATTCACACAATGCGCTGATACAAGTGAACATGGAAAAGATGAGCTGCGGGAAGAACACAAGAGGACAGGAATGGGGGAGAGGGCAGGAGCCAGGAACTTACGATTTTTGAGGGCGTTTTGGGTTTTTGTTGCAGAGCTTTCTTGGCTTTGGCTGCCGCTGCCTGTGCTTGGTGTATCCTCTCTGCACAAGAAAACAGAGGATGAGAATCACTATGCAACGAAGGAACATCAAAAGTAGAGTTTATTGACAGAGGACTTACCAAATCCTCCTCACTGCGGTCACGATGGAGGTAGATCCACAGCTTGCGTCCAATGTCATATTTCACGCATGGATCTTTTTCATAATGCAGCCGGTCCAGTGCACCACTCACCACCGTGTTAACCTAACATCAGATGACCCCGAGACTGTGAACTTGGGTACTATGTTAACATTGAAGCCCTCATGGAACCCCAAAGACAAACAGCCACCCCAGTATCAATAAACCAAAACTTACCTGGGCACTGGTAACATCAGGTGCCAGAAACTGGGAATCCTTCAGCAGTTCACAAATTTCAGCACGTGTACCCTCACCATTTGGCAAACGGGCCGCTGCGTCACGAACTGAGAATGGAAAGTTTACTTAAATAATCTCTAAAAATGACACTTCATTATTATCACATACAGTTCACATTATATGGTTCCGATTACATCTCTCGAATACATTTTAGTGTTCATGTTACCATGTCACAAATGGTTAGCTGTCCAAGCCCCACCCTCTCAGAGCTGAGACAGGAGAAAAATTACCAAGAGACAAGATGGTGACGTAAGCCGGCCTATCAGAACGCAGCAGTGAGTGTTCGCGAGCTTTGTTCAGGGATGTCTCCTTATCAAATACACCTTTCACTGGACCCACTACAGACTCAAATCCATGCATACGAAAAGTGAAGGCCTTGTGTGGCTGGAGGTAGCGGTGCCGTTCCTGGGTGGATCAGAGATAGGAATTAGAACTGGAGGTCCTGGAACAAATTACCTTTTGTTATCAGTAAAAATCAGGTTATTACCAATTAAGTGAATAATAGAAACTAACCTGTTCCTGGAAAATCCGCTTCTCATCTCCAGAACTTGGCCGCACAATGTAGTCAGTCCTTCTGAAATATATACAAATGTAGTGGTCAGCATTTCAGAGAAATTAGTGTAAGCATACTGTTAATATTAACCATTAGCCGCCCGGCCAATGGCCGTTTGGCGGCTTCAAAAGTGTCTCTGCACTCCGGGTGCACGCCATTTGGCGTGCTCCCGCACATGCGCAGTTTGCGCTAATGCAGAGCGGCGCAGCAGTGCAATCTGTCACTGGCCGTGCACCTTGGACACGGCCGATGACAGATCCGAGTACCGGCTCCCGTTGCTGGTACCATGTGACCTGCTGTGACCAATCACAGCAGGTCACATGACAGTTGTATACAATGGATGGCTTCATTCATGATGCCATCCATTGTATACTAGTGCCTAGCTGTGAATGGTCACAGCTAATCACATGCACATGTCATGTGATTAGCTGTGACCAAATCACAGCTAAGCACAAAAAAAAAAAAAAAAAAAAAAAAAAAAAAAAAAAAAAAAAAACACACGAAGAAAGCTGAATAAAATAGATTTCATTCAGGTAAATGCTTGCTTATAGCAAAGTAATTCTTTGCTATAAGCAAATTGTGTAAAAAAAAAAAAAAAAAATACTGATCACTTCCCCAAAGTAGTACAATGTTACTATGGTAACATTGTACTACTTTGGTCATAGTAAAATATGAAAAAAAAAAATCTTAAAAAAAAAAAAATTTAATAAAAAATTAAAACATAATAAAAAAAATAAAAAAAAAAATATATATATATATATATATATATTTTTTTTTTTTTTTTTTTTTTTTTTTTTTTTTTTTTTCCCCATACTGTCACCAGTCAGTGTCCCTGTTCACCGCCATGCCAGTTATATGATAATGCTGTACTGCACTGGTGACAGTATGTAAAAAAAAAAAAAAAAAAAAAAAAAAAAAATAGTGAAAATAATTTTTTTTTTTTTTCATTTTCCAAAAAATTATGACAAAAAAAAAAATACAACTTCAAAAAACTCGCCATGCCTCTTATGAAGTACGTCGGACTGTCTACTCTGCAAAAAGGGGTCATTTGGGGGATATCTGTACTGTTCTGACATTCTTGGACCTCAAGAAATTAGATTGGCTGTCAGTACTTCAGGATTGATCAATATTCAGATATATCCCATAGTTTGTGAACTCTATAACTTTCCTACAAACTAAAAAATACATCCTAATTTGTGTTATTCTCAAAGACATGTAGCAGAATACATCTTGGCCTAAATTTATGAAGAACAATTATTTATTTATAAACTTTTATAACAGAAACAAAGAAAAATGTGGGTTTTTTTTTCAAAATTTTTGGTCTTTTTTTGTTAATTTAGCAAAAAATAAAAACCCCGGCGGTGATTAAATACCACCAAAAGAAAGCTCTAGTTGTGTGAAGAAAATGATAAAATTTTACTTTGGGTACAATGTTGTATGACCGCGCAATTGTCATTCAAAGTGTGAGAGCGCTGAAACCTGAAAAATGGCCTGGGCAGCAAGGTGTAAAATTGCATGGTATTGAAACGGTTAAACAGCCCTGAATGCCTTATGAACCAACGCTGGTTTCTTCTACGGTCATGTTCAACACAAATCTTCAACCCTCTGGACACAGAACAACAATGTATTGTGATTTGGTGCTTTACACAGAAGCTTAATTTATCTGCTGCACGCAATCACATTCCCTTTATTCTAGCTGCTGGAAGCAAAAAGATATACCCTGTTCTTCCAGGTATGGGGAAGCATGCGACTTACTCCCCTTCCTTCTACATGACAGTGCTGGTAGCTGGTGATTGGCCACTCAGGCATGGAGAGCTCTCATTTGTGGACAGGAAGAGTCCAAAGCCCTGTGTAAGCTCCAAGGCAGAAAAAGCTGAAAGGAGAAATTCGTTCGTAAGAAAGAGAACGAACGAAAGAAATGCCCATTTTTTTGCAGGTAGAAAAAATTATTTTTCTTCCTAGAAACCTAGAAATTATTGCACCCACGATAAGCAGATTGTGGGTGTCATGCAGGGCTACCGCAGACCTTTCAGTGTGTACCTTGTACGGGCAAGCAGATACACACTGACAAGAAGAATCAATGAAGTACCACAGCGCTCAACAGTACCGTAGTAATTCATTGAGAATTACAAGCTGACAGGCACAAAAGCTGTCAGTACTTGTAGTTTTACATTCACAGAATTCTGTGAATGAATGACGAGGTCGGGCAGGCATAGCCCCGTATGGCTGCAGTTTTGTTTTTTGTATTTAAATAGTGTGGTAGTTGTAGTAGTACTGGGAATGGAAACATCTTACATGTTCCACCCTAAAAACAGGTGGCACATGCAACATTTTCCCAAAGGGGAACTTATCCTTTAAAGTAGTGGTCTCTCCAGGCACATCCTCACTTCCTACAGTCCCCCAGAAAACAAAGTGCATGTAGCGCTTTAATCTGTTTTCACTGGTGCTGTATTTTCAGAGCTGGCATATAATACACACACACACACACACACACACACACACACACACACACAACAGTGTTCTATTTGTTATATCTGCATGTTAAAGTTATAATAAGCTCAGTAACCAACATGCACAGTCATGGAGGGGGAAGAAGGCTAGACTCAACATGAACTATAGGTATGCCAAAAAACATCTTTATGAAGGAGCAATGAAAGCACAGAGAATTCAGTATTTCTCATCTAAAGAAAACTTGTGGATGAATCAAGAGACCAGCAAGTAAACATTTATAACGCATGAGATGGCTTCTTTAAAGCATACATAGGAGAACACTCCACTTCCACTCTTTTGTTATGCAATAAACAGACATTTAAAATGCAGCAACACTAGAAACTCACATGCATGAGACCGTAAAATAGAAATATGAAGCGATGCATCAGAAAGCATGTTTTTTTTATACAAGGCAACTGAACTACATCCCATATGATGCGATTACCATACTTACACTCTGGGGATGGGGGTGCTGGAGTCTGGGCTCTCCTCCTCCTACAAGGAAAGGAGAATGGACTACTTTAGAAAAATGTTAATTGATCTCTGCAATTCTTATGTTTTAGAAAAAGGAAACATCACTGAAAAGCAACAGCCATGTATCACTACATATACAGGACTAAAAAACAAAACTGCAGTTATGGCATTTTGTACATAGTTACATTTATCCAGTTTGGCCCAATGCAAATATACATATACGTCTCTGGGATCCCTCTAAAAGCTGAAAATCACTGTAGTAGACTCAACTACTTCAGTGATTTCCACTAGCTTCTGAGTCCTGTGTTAAGCTGCAGCCTTACTGCATTGTGAACACAGGAGGCCGACCGCTTAACAGAAACAGCATTCAAAAAAATGCTTTACCTTTTCTCGATGATTGAAAATCATTCTCTGATTGGACAAGGTGGAGAGCAAGGTAAAGTATCCTCTGACGCTCATGACAAGCGGCCTACTTCCTGTGTTCACAATGCAGTAGGGCAGCTGCTTGGCAGGAGACCCGAAAGCTAGTGGAGATGACTGTAGCAGCAGTCTCTATTAATCTAATGCGATTTCCAGGTTCTAGAGGGATCCTACAGGTATGGTATATGCATAGTTGTATTGGTCCAAGCTGGACCAATGCAACTATGTAATAAATGCCGTACCTGGAACTCTTCTTTAGAGCCCAATTACCGGTTCCTCCGGTTTTCTTCAATACATTAAGCAAATCTGCTCATTTACATGCCTGAATTAGTAGAGCTCTCACTGTACTTTTGGGCCACACGGATGTAAGCACTGCAGGTCTTAGAGACACCAGCGCTGCAGCCTTGCCTTCACCTCTCTCCCCCCTCCTAGTCATTCATAAAATGTAGCCTGGGGCTGTGTGCCTCTGGCATCTAAATGAGATTTGCATAGTGCAGAAAAACAGCCTGCATGATAATGTGCCAAATGATGTAGAACTGCTTTAACCCTGGCAAGTATATTGTGCCCAGAGTCGGGCTTTAAATCAAAGTGAAGCAAAGGGAAGTGCACTCCCCACAGCTGCCAAGCAGATTTTTCCCCTCTACCACAAACATGATGTAGAAGATAGGGATGTTTAGAATAAAGGAGTTAATCTTAGGTAGAATAGCTCTCTCTGTGGAATGCAGATGGTGGAATGCAGTGAATATGGATAGGCTGCTTGCCCAAGTGAATAAGCCTCCAAAACTGGGATGCAGATGGAGAGTAAAGACCTTCCCAGACCCTTAATATTTGGTGTGCCAAACCTTGTTCCGTAATCACCTACACTGAAAAATGAAAGCTGGAATGTGACTGGTTGCTATAGGCATCACAGACATGCTTCTTTCTGACAGGTTCAAAGAGGAATGATCAAGTCCTGTGCACACAAGACAGATGTTGGCCCTCACCTTCGTGAATATGTGATCCTTTGTCTCCAGCCAAAGGTGGAAAAGAGCGATGAGATCCTTTTCATTATCAGCAGGGGGTACTGAGGGGGGGGAAGAAATGGGGTTTTTAATATAGTTTTTCTTTTTAATGTTTTAAATCCACATGGAATGATGTAGAGGGGTCGTTGTACTCACCAAGACACTTCCACTGCTGCGTCTTCTCCCTGAACTCTACATAGGGAGTTAGACCAGACAAAGCACCTGCAAATAACAAATAAAGAGTAAGAGAGACACCCCCAGCTACAAACCTGTGGCATGTAGAAGTTATTCTCCGACGTGAAAAATGGACAATGGAATATTACCAAATAAACTGCATGTGCAGCTCTGTCTGAAGCACCCGATATTGTTTTTGGTATAGAGAGCAATTCCAATAGAGGAATAGACAATGGAGAATATTCAATAAACATCAAAATTTTAGATGAGCCTACTCTACAACAAAAGGAATGTAGGGACCTGAAAAGAACTGCCACTGCAATGGCAACTATGATAATACTGCACTACAAGTATGCTTCAGAAAAACTTGTTGTTTTAGTTTGTGTAGTGAAGGAAAACTTAAGCAAGCTCAATAGCTCGGGGCAGGCAGCTCTCACAGCAAGGCTTCCTCCAATGGTTACCCAGCAGCAGATCAAAACAGAGAAAGACACACAAAGGAAGGAAGAGTCCAAGATTATTTGTTCACAAATTGGTCAAATAAAAACAAATGCGTTTTGAGCAGGGTGGATAAAAATCAATGATTTTTTTTTTTTTTTTTTAAACGATTTTTTTTTTTTTATTTAAATCAGATTTTTTTGATTTAAATCAGATTTTTTTGAATAAAATGCTTTTTGAGGAAAATATATTACCATCCAAAAGGTTATTCCATCATGAAATAAAGATTAGTTTTTTTAATTATGTAGAATAAGGCTGTATATGTTTAATTTTTTTGGTAAATAAATTCCATGAATCCATTCACAATGTCATGCTCTTCCAGAGGTTTTTGTAAGATTATTGGGCAGTTTCTCTCCCTACAAGATATTATCACAGATTTTGGGTTTTCTTTTGCAGTTCTCAAAACTGAATTTGACTCAGCGGAGATCACATGCCTCTTCTTCACAGCAAAAATGTTATAACATGAACAGAGTTAAGAAAAAGACCTTAATCCTAACTTCTACAAACCTATGAATACAGAAACAACCCCTTCAGTGCTAAGTTTCAAGAAGTTCAGTGAATAGAAACAATATTTTTCTGATTGTTTGGAGTGGAATAGATCTGCACAAGAAGAAAGTGAAACGAAGTGTGAGGAGGAAGGGGCTGACAGTCTAAGTTTCTGAAAATATATATATTTTGTTTAGCCAAATTAGTTAACAAACATGGATGTTTGTGTAAGCAAATCACATATGCTGGAATGTTATTGTTTCAGTTGAATAAATCTATTTAAATTGTTATTATTAAGGTAATGATTATTTTTCTCCTTCCTAAGTACAACAGAAAAGTTGTCCAAATATGAATGATTAACCTATTAAACTGGGGATAAAAAAAACGAATATGAAAAGTTGTTATTCTAAAAATCTTCATCTACTTGCATATTAAAGTTATACCAGCAAGAATTAGTCTTTATGTAGAAAAACTAGGATTTAAATCAAGCCTTACTGACTAGTGATTTAAATCAGTTTGATTTAAATCAAATCCACCCTGGTTTTGAGGGCCAAAATTACTCCCCCTCCATTGTTGGATGTTTTCAATGTGGGACCACCAGGTGTCCGAGTTGTCGAGTACATGCACTAATCACTGCTAGCACCAAATCCAAAAAGCACCAGAGTCATCCCAGTTGGCCCATCAAGTCTTTCCTAAACTGGTTTTCATAATATGTAGTGTATGCTTTAACATGTTCCTGCAGCCTACAGTAAATAGGAAGGACTATACACACATAACAGAAATTAGACTGAATACTAGTCAATTATTGGACTTCATTTCAAAGAGCAGAGTCTTTCAAAGCATTTTATGACAAGGATTTTATTCTGATACAAGCCACCATAATGAGAGATTTTGGAATGTAAACACTAAAACAGACTCAATGTTATGCAAGTGTGAAACATTGTGGATCTACAGACTTAACCTTAACCTGGATTAAATGTGGTTATTAAATATTTGCAGCACCAGTCAGAATTCTGCTTTTATGAGTCAATGTCAGTCGATCTTCCCTTTACTTATTTACTCTGTTATGTCAATTTATTCCTGGATATGGCCTGCAGTTATCAGGAGTGGGCACAAGAGTCATAAAGCACACAGCACACCACATCACATACAGATGACTATTTATCTAACCATTAAAACAAAATACAGTTACAGTGAACAAAGAAAGTATTTCATGTATGAGCATACATGCACAAGCAAAAAATCCATATAAAAAAAATAAAGCACGTGGCATTCAACAAAAAAGAAAAAAATGATAAACAAATCAAAAGAAAGTCGGAATAAAAAGAAGAAATTGTTCAGATGATATGTTATTTCTTCTTTTAGAGGTTGAGAAGGGATTTTCCAGTTCATAATGGACAACAGAGCTTACACTTACCTTTGCTGTCTCCGCTAAGACATAGAAGGGCAGACTGAATCAGGTCACACCAATTTGAGGCAGCAGAGTACCAGCTGTTCAGGGTACTGGCGGGCGAGACCTGCCAAAGGGACACCTTCTCCTCCAGCTGAAATATTCGAGGGAGATCAAATGGTCACAAAATACAAGAAAACATTTAAATCTGACGTTTAAAACTGCTTATACTTTGCCTTACATGGTTTCCCCCTCCCCTTCATCAACACACTGATCACACTTTTAAATAAAATCCCTTCAGTTTTCAATACGTACTTTATTTTAGACCTAGTAAAAGCATCACTGGGTCTTTGTGCTTCTCTATGCAAAACAGGTAATCAAGGTTGGTGGGGGGGAGGGGGGGCAGAGGTGGCGGGGTGCTTTATATAGACATCTGAATACATATCAGCACACTGCCTTAGTGCTCTTCTCAAGAACCCTTAGCACGAAGGAACAACAGTAACCAGCAGTAAATCAGCTTGAAAAAGGAAATGTGGTAAACGTGTTGCGGCCCACCCCCCCCCCCCTCCCCCACAGCCTGTCATGTTCTCCTGTCTGCCTCCCTGTTAGTGCGGTGAGTGGGAGGAGAGACGCCCCTGATTTACCATCTTGTAGTGGGTCCCAGCTTGTGGCCTGCAGCCCTATCAGATTGCAGTGAGCTGTATGTTGCACCACCACAATCTGGTGCCTTGCTCGGTTTCCTTTGTTTGCTTAGCGCTAAGAAGTTGTGGGCTGGATCTTAGGTGGAGTTATATAAATATCAAAATTGGTGGGTGGGTGGATGTCAGTTTAGAGGAATGGGCATTCCTATGCAGATTCGCCTAATTCCTACAGCTGAGACTCTATGAATGAAATATCTGAGATCCAATAAATGAAAGGGCTGGGCCAGGAACAGTCAGGCTAGGAGGAAAAAAGAGCTAAATGTTTATGGATGTTCTTCAGCTAGAAAATGAGACAGCTTTATCTTACTTGCTGCAACTTCTAATGCACACTGTGAGAAGAAACACCCTCCTTTGGTTCCTACAAAGCATAATCTCATCTGTGGCCCTCCATACAGACATACATTCACCGGCCACTTTATTAGATACACCTCTTCAATTGCTTGGTAACACAAACTGCTGAACAGCCAATCACATGGCAGCAACTCAATGCATTTATGCATCTAGATGTGGTGAAGACGACTTGTTGAAGTTCAAACAGAGCATCAGAATGGGGAAGAAAGGGGTTTTAAGTGATTTAGAAAGTGGCATGGTTGTTGGTGCCAGCTGGGCTGGTCTGAGTATTTTAAAAACTGCTGATCTACTGGGATTTTCACACACAACCATTCTAGGGTTTACAAAGAATGTTCAAAAAAAGAAAAAATATCCAGTGCAGTTGTGTGGACGAAAATGCCATGTTGATGTCAGCGGTCCGAGGAGAATTGACAGACTGGTTCGAGATGATAGAAAGGCAACAGTAACTCAAATAACCACTCATTACAACCAAGGTATGTAGATTACCATCTCTGAACCTTGAAGCAGATGGGCTACAGCAGCCAGCAGAAGACCACACCAGGTGTCACTTCTGTCAGCTGTCTGATGAGTCTCAATTTCAGCTGCGACATTCGGATGGTAGGGTCAGAATTTGGCGTAAACATGAAAGCATGGATCCATCCTGCCTTGTATCAATGGTTCAGGCTGGTGGTATAATGGTGTGGGGGATATTTTCTTGAAACACTTAGGGCCCCGTAGTACCAATTGAGCATCATTTAAACACCACGGCCCGAGTATTGTTGCGGACCATGTCCATCCCTTTATGACTACAGTGGACCTAAGATTCATATTCTAAACACACATTAGTTAAAACATTGTAAAGGTCCTACACCTATAACTGTGTAGAAAAACAATGCACAGAATATAATTCTCTGTCACACACACAGTGTCCTTCTCTCACCAGAATGAGACTGGAGGGCCCCTCTGCCATCAGTATATCCAGCAGGAGACTGAAAAAACTGGCTGAGATCTCATTGAAGGGCAAAGGTGGCTTCACATCCTCCATGGGCCTGCAGGAGAAAAGAGGCAATGTCGGAAAAACAGCGAGTGACAGAAGAAAAAGACTAAGCAGCCCATCAAATATACAACTTTTTTTGCTTTTGTTTTTATAAAACTGTACATTCCAGGTGAACTTACTCTTCTTTCACAGAGGTCAGGTTGAGTGAGTCAGAAGGAAGGAGGGCTGGCATTATATCCGCTTCTTCAGGAGCATCTGGGAAATCCTCCGGTTCCGTTTTTATTGGCTTCATTTTCTTCTTCTTTCGCTCGTCCCGTTCTTTTACACGTCTCTTCATTGTGGCCAAATCATAAAGTGCTGAAAGATACCAAAGACAAGTTTTGAACAGAGTGCAAGATGGTGAACAGGGAATGGGGGTGCACTGTCAACCACACTAACTCAGCATTCATAGCACCAATCAAAATGGGACAAAATGTGCCCCGGAGAACTGAAGGACACAATGAAGAGTATTGTGAGATGACTGGTAATCACTTGTCTGAGGGATGATAATATCAGTTAAAGTTACAGTTCTACATCCAGCTGAAATAAGAACTCCACCATTATTTTTCCACCCTTTCAGAATCAAGATACAATATTACTGTGGCACGAGAGACAGTCTGTTACGAATCCGCCTGGTGGTGCCTCTGGCAGCCCACTAGGCAGGATTATCCAGAGCGTGGAGTCTAAGTCCCGGTCTGCGTGTTCACCAGGGCCCCTGATGGTGGGGATGGACTTGAAGCAGACCAGGACCAGGTCACGACCTCCGAGCAATCCCACCCGTGGCAGAGGGAACCTCCGGGGATGGATACAGGAGGAGGAGAGCCAGATGTGAGGAGGCCGACAGGCACAGGCAGGATGGATGGATGGATGGACGGATCGTGGTCAAACTAGCCAATTGTCACCGAGGGGGCAGCGAGGTACAGAAACGGCAGGCAAAGGATAGTCAGGTCACACGCAGGGTCAGTATAGGGAAGGTCAGTCCGCAGAGAGGTCAAAACAAGCCGGGGGTCAGGACAGGAGAGGCAGCATAGTCAGGGCAATCCGGGTCAATATCAGGAGAAGGCAGCGTAGTCAGAGCAATCCGGGTCTACAATGGTACAGGAACACAGGAACTCAGGTACAGGAAGAGACCTTGCGGCAATCCATGACAGCGCAGGGCATCTTTAAATACCGCGCCCTGCGCTGTCATTGGCCGCCCAGCAGGGACTCGCGGCACCTACTGCGCATGCGCGCGAGTCTCCCTCAGCCGTGGCCGGCCGGGACCTAGTGCCCGTATCCCGGCGCGAGCTGACAAGACCGTGCATGCGTCGGGCGCGATGCTGTGGCGGACCCTGACACAGCCATGAGAGCAATGCTTATGCTGTTATCACTGACCTCGCCTGTGAAAATGCTGGCTGCTTGGCCATCACGCTGACTGCCTTCAGTACTTTAAGTCACTGACCCAGAGCAAGTATGCAGGGATCAACCTTAATATTTCTGTTATGATAGGTTTCCCTTAAGCCCTTCAGATAAAAAAAAAAAAACCAGTTCAGATTGCTATACTATAGCTTTATTCAGCTCAACTATGGTAGCAATGAGCATGGAGCAGAAAAGTTCATTGTGTACAATAACTATCCAATCACAAGTCACCAGTTTTTTGTAGAATATATGTTCACATTTGTAAACTTAGAACTCAGTCAGTCAGTCAGTCAGTCAGTCAGTCTCTTTCATTTCCCTTTCGGCATTCATTTGCTACACTTCAATGCTCAGCTACTTAATTCCTATCGTTGCAAGTATTCCCATTTTCAGCATTTCTGGGTTCCAGCTCCACTCCCTCTGCCAACCTAGGTCAGACCCACCCACCAGTGCCAGGGCCTCTGGCACCCAAGACAAGGATGCAAAAGTGCAGGTGTCCCTAAGGTGGGTAGAGGGTGCTGGGCTCTGCTTTCTCTGCTGGTTCTCATTGTTTCAACCTGCTTCCACCAGGAGCCTGGGGAGCAACCCAAGTATTAATCCTTTCCAGACACTTCACCCCCAGGCAGACAGCCACACATAGAATACAATGACACTTTAGCCAGCTTTAATTCTGCCCTATTAGCTGGCACTTCCAGTCCAACTGGAGGCACCAAGTCAGTTTTGATTTATTACCCAATGCCATGACCTTCCCTGTGGGTGCAGAATCTGGGCAGTGGTGCTCCCATTCAAAATACTTCACTCTCCCTGCAGGCATGGAATCTGGGCAGCGACCCTGTCAGTTATACATTTCATACTATTTCTGTAGGTGGAGAATCTGCAGTAGCGGCAGTGTAATATACTCGGCGGTACGGCTACAGTGGTGATGTTTTTACATCCACCACTCATAGCGTACTGCACCCAAGGGAAGTGCCTCCTCAACCTATAGGTGGGCCTGGCCCTGCCACCCTCTCACACACACTGCAGGACAGAAAACTGGAGCAGCACAGGATCATGTGACAAGAGGGTTTCCTGACATTAAAACAGCTGCAGTGGTTCTGGGATTGTGTTAGCAGCTTGCTAACTGGTCTCTCTGTCCCCTGGAGTGTCTATTTAAGGTGATTCTATCATGAAAGAAAGCCAAGCAAACAGAATTATAAAAAGAGGCCCAGCAATGGCAGCCCTCATACATTTTTTTACCGCAGAGAGAAAATGGCCACAGTGTTTGTTTCTACCTAAGGTTGTCTTATCTCTAGCGAAGAGAAGTCGTCCTTGTGTAGGAACAAATACTGTGGGTCACTGTTTTAAAAAACCTTTGCGGTTTAAGAATTCTGAAAACAAGCAGACATGGATGGAGCAAGAGTCACTTACCTGCTAGAGATCCCTTACGGCCAGCATTGACACGAGTCATTATGTCATTCATGGAGATCTCTTCCATCATCAGATCAGGGTGATCCTACAGGAGAATGAGGAGGATAATATATGATCTAGGACCGCATATATAAGCAAAACAACTGTACAGAGATAACCAACCAAATTGCTTCTTCCCAAAAAACACTCAAAAGTGACAGCTGCATTGTGATTGGTTGCATCTACAGTAAACACCTGTATCGGTATTACCTTTGGTGATAATAAATGCACAATATCATATATAGACAGTGTAGACCTTCAGGAGAGATCTTTCATCTGTAGCTGCATTTCTAAAGATGCTTTTTATTGGTGTTTTGCAATTACAAAACAATGAAACAAACATTTCTCCAAATATCATTCTATCCCAATGTTCATGTCATGTTCTGCAGTTCTATCTGTGGACCTGGAATTCTGTATCCATTTCAGCAGGGCAGTGAGGGCTCCTCCACTACAACACACCTTCATAGGTAACACAGGTGAGAACCCTGATGTGTGCAAGGGAGAGCTCAACTAGAGCCTCTGTGCCCAATTCAATAGTTCAAAAAATTCAAGAAACACTTTAAAAACACATCAGATCTCAATGGGGAAAAAATATCATGCTGGATATCTATACTGATATGGACGGGTAATGTGTTAGGAATGTAAGGATGCCCCATCGTTTGATGGAAATTAAAATGATCAACCTACAGAGGACTGAATTCTAAGACATCCCGAAAATCAAAGTGAAAAAATGATGCATCACGCTAGTCCATTTTGCTGAAATTTCATTGCAGCAACTCAAAATGGTCCTCAGTAGTTTGTATGGCCCCCACATGCTTGTATGCATGCCTGACAATGTTGGGGCATGCTCCTAATGAGATGACGGATGGTGTCCTGGGGTATTTCCTCCCAGATCTGGACCAGGGAATCACGGAGATCCTGGACAGACTGAGGTACAACCTTGCGGAATCGGAAGGACCGAAACATGATATCCCAGAGGTGTTCCATTGGATTTAGGTCAGGCAAGCGTGGGGGCTATTCAATGGTATCAATTCCTGCATCCTCCAGGAACTGCCAGCATACTCTCGCCACAGGAGGCCGGGCATTGTCGTGCACCAGGAGGAACCCAGGACCCACTGCACCAGCGTAAGTTTGACAATGGGTCGAAGGATTTCATCCTGATACCTAATGGCAGTCAGGGTGCATTGTCTAGCCTATAGAGGTTGTGCGTCCCTCCATGGATATGCCTCCCCAGACCATCACTGACCCACCACCAAAACGGTCATGCTGAACGATGTTACAGGCAGCAGAACGTTCTCCATGGCTTCTCCAGACCCTTTCATGTCTGTCACATGTGCTCAGTGTGAACCTGCTCTCATCTGTGAAAACCACAGGGCGCCAGTGGCGGACCTGCCAATTCTGGTGTTCAATCGCAATTGCCAATCAAGCTCTATGGTGCTGGCCAGTGAGTGCAGGGCCCACTAGAGGACATTGGGCCCTCAGGCCACCCTCATGAAGTCTGTTTCTGATTGGTCAGAGACATTCACAGCAGTGGCCTGCTGGAGGTTATTTTGTAGGGCTCTGGTAGTGCTCATCCTGTTCCTCCTTGCACACAGCAGATACCGGTCCTGCTGATGGGTTAAAGACCTTCTACAGTCCTGTCCAACTCTCCTAGAGTAACCGCCTGTCTCCTGGAATCTCCTCCATGCCCTTGAGACTGTGCTGGAGACACAGCAAACCTTCTGGCAATGGCATGTATTGATGTGTCATCCTGGAGGAGTTGCACTGCCTGTGCAACCTCTGTAGGGTCCAGGTATCGCCTCACGCTACCAGTAGTGACACTGACCCTAGCCAAATGGAAAACTAGTGAAAGCGAGTCAGAAAAGAGTAGGGAAAAAATATCAGTGGCCTCCACCTGTAAAACCATTCCTGTTTTGGGGGTTGTCTCATTGTTGCCCATCTAGTGCACCTGATGTTAATTTCATTACACAACAACCCCCTCTGCTACTTAATATGAAGCTACTTACAATATGAAGCCACGGACACTTACTGGCTGAAGCTTCCGTTTCTCTCGATGTCTCCTGAGCATCATTTTCAAATCCCGCTCTGTCAGATCAACTTTATCTGCATTAAACAAATGTATGTTACACAGTTACACTTTTCTGTACTGAAAAGTATTACAAGGTCTCAGATGAACAATATATCTTTTTTTTAATTCTTTTATTGCATCGTACATGGATTCAGAGAACTGGGAGGATATCTGGGAATATCCTGTGCAACAACTGGTCTCGGTGAAGGACAGGCTAATCCAAGTTAAGATACTCCATAGAGTCCTCCGGCTAAATGCTGGCACTGTCCAGAAGACCCGGCATTCTTTATACATGGTATTAGGCTGAGCCCTGTGGTCCAGTCCTTTTGGAAAGAGGTTTCCTAGTGTATATATATATATGTCTACAATGATATTTGTACCACTGACTGTGGTTATCTGCGACTGTGTCTAGTCCACTTATTGGCCATGTCTAGAGCAGTAAGAACGCTTATAGGTGTATTGTTATTTTATGCCTGCAAAGCCATCTTGCTCAAATGGAAGTCCCCGACGGCACCTACCCTTGACTTCTGGAAAAGTCTGATCAATTCAGCAAAACCGCTATATAAATACACTTATGAATCTAGGGATTGTCCCACAACATTTTCCAAAATTTGGGATATCTGGGTTGACTCATCTGCAACAAATCCTTCAGGTGATACTCCAACATGATTTACCTCATATCCTTTCTATTTTCTTTTTACCTTTTGAGAAACACCTAAATGGTGATCACGGTCATCCTTGGTACTGTATATATCAATGAGCTGTATCTAATATGGATAACTTGGTTGTCAAATAAAATTGTTGCATTGTTTTATATTTTTCCCTGTGTGTAATGTATAAGCCTGGGTATGCCCAATAGGCTTTGTTTTGTACCTCTATCTATTTCAACAGCTTAATAAAAAAAAAAAAAAAAAAAAAAAAAAAAAAAAAAAAAAAAAAAAAAAAAAGGAAAGGATGCTTTTATTATTTTAGATTACCAACAACAAAGTACATGCCCTGCATAATATATACTGCATAGTTACTACACATTGAAACATTTGTAACGCATACATAGTCAAAGAACATTCAGATGGAATATATAGCACAAAACGTGCTCTAAAAAAAAACCCAGGTGGATCAAATGGTCAGAAGGAAACAAACAACATTTATTTATAAATGTTTACAAGTGGTATAGCAAAAGTATTGTCCATCTGTAAAGACAAACTACATTTTATGGTTTTCCCATGTCTTCAAATGCTATTTGAGATTGAAGAGAATTCTGGGAGTGAAGTGAACATAATTCTAGATGTTCCTTAGAAGATATCACTACTGTTTCTTCATCATATCCCCACCAGACACTAGATCACCAGTCATCAGAGGGGTAGCTCTGACATGAGGAAATCCCTGTTCCTCTACCATGATTTCCACTTCAACACAGACAGAGAACAAGTCCACAATTAAAGTGCCACACTAATGTACTGTTCTTTCTGGAGAGAAAGGTGAACCTGAGGACCTAGATTGCAAGGCTCTCTCTGCTTAATGCATTCTGTGGATCTGTACTTCCTCCTCCTGCTTCTTCATGATCAACAGTCATCAGAGTGGCAACTTTGACACTAGCCAGCAAAGCCCTGCCTCTACGAAAATGGCGGAATCCACACAGACACAAAGTTTAGAAATGGGCATGCTAAAGTAGCAGGAAAAAAAAACAGCTGCAGTGAGACCGCAGGGGAAGTACCGGTGACTAAGCTCTTTGCCCTCTACATGCCTTTTCTAGACACAATTTCCACAGAAGAAGTCCTCTTTAACCGTTTCAATACCGTGCAATTTTACACCTTCCCCCAGGCCATTTTTCAGGTTTCAGCACTCACACTTTGAATGACAATTGCGCGGTCATACAACACTGTACCCAAACTAAAATTTTATCATTTTCTTCACACAACTAGAGCTTTCTTTTGGTGGTATTTAATCACCGCTGGGGTTTTTATTTTTTGCTAAATTAACAAAAAAAGACCCAAAATTTTGAAAAAAAAAAAAAACACACACCTTTTTCTTTGTTTCTGTTATAAAAGTTTACAAATAAATAATTGTTCTTCATAAATTTAGGCCGAGATGTATTCTGCTACATGTCTTTGGTGACAATAACCCAAATTAGGATGTATTTTTTAGTTTGTTGGAAAGTTATAGAGTTCACAAAACTATGGTATAGATCTGATTATTGATCAATCCTGAAGTACTGACGGCCAATCTAATTTCTTGAGGTCAAAGAATGTCAGAATAGTACAGATATCCCCAAATGACCCCTTTTTGCAGAGTAGACAGTCCACGTACTTCATAAGAGGCATGGCGAGTTTTTTGAAGTTGTATTTTTTTGTCATAATTTTTCGAAAAATTAAAAAATTAAAAAAATTTTTTCACTATTTTTTTTTTTTTTTTACATACTGTCACCAGTGCAGTACAGTGTCATCATATAACTGGCATGGCGGTTAACAGGGACACTGACTGGTGACAGTATGAAAAAATATTATATATTTTTTTTTTTTTTTTTTTTTATATATTTAATTTTTTATTACATTTTTTTTTTTTTAATTTTTTTTAAGATTTTTTTTCATATTTTACTATGACCAAAGTAGTACAATGTTACCATAGTAACATTGTACTACTTTGGGGAAGTGATCAGTATTTTTTTTTTTTTTTTTTTTTTTTTTACACAATTTGCTTATAGCAAAGAATTACTTTGCTATAAGCAAGCATTTACCTGAATGAAATCGATTCATTCAGCTTTTTTTTTTTTTTTTTTGTGCTTAGCTGTGATTTGGTCACAGCTAATCACATGACATGTGCATGTGATTAGCTGTGACCATTCACAGCTAGGCACTAGTATACAATGGATGGCATCATGAATGAAGCCATCCATTGTATACAACCGTCATGTGACCTGCTGTGATTGGTCACAGCAGGTCACATGGTACCAGCAACGGGAGCCGGTACTCGGATCTGTCATCGGCCGTGTCTGAGGTGCACGGCCGGTGACAGATCGCACTGCTGCGCCGCTCTGCATTAGCGCAAACGGCGCATGTGCGGGAGCACGCCAAATGGCGTGCACCCGGAATGCAGGGGCACATTTGAAGCCGCCAAACGGCCATTGGCCGGGCGGCTAATGGTTAACAATGCAGTAAACAATGGCATACAAGGACACTGGAGGACTTACCGGCTGTTTTCATGTCCTGTGTGGACAGAGTGGGGACAGAGCGGAGTGGTACGCTAGCACCTGGAGAACTGGTGGGCGACCCTGGGAGCCAAGAGGTCAAATCTAAAGATAAAATAAAATTCCATAATAACCATAAACTGCACATGTGTAACAGGAAACCTCTTGATAGACATACTTTCAGAGTTAGATTTTTACCTTCCTCCTCCGAGGACAGTGTACCATCTCCACACTCCTCTTTCACCTCTCGTAGGATCTTCAGGTACCGCCGCTGTGCACGCCTCTCCCTCTCCTCCGGTGTGTTTCGTGGAGAAGTGGTTTTTCCGTTTCATCACCAGGTCTGGACCGTTCTTTCTGGCAAGATCCAAAAGCTCCTGCATGCCGGGGAAAACATACAACATATAAACCAGGGAAGGAGGGAAACACTACAAGCACACAGCTGTAACGCTATCACTTAAACTATTATATGTTACTCCAATTTCTTAGAAAAGTAGAAAGGCAATAAAAAAAATAGAAGGTAAAAAAGGGGCATCGGTTTCAAAGGAAAACCCTTCCATGCATTTTTTAAAAAAATGAAAAGATAAACTATGTTTAACACTTTAATGTGCTCAAAAATAAATGGTTAGCACTTCTGCCTGGCAGTACTAGAGTCATTGGTTTGAATCCCAACCATGACACCACTTGCCTGGAGTTTGCATGTTCTATTTGTGACTACCTCCGGGTACTCCGGTTTCCTCCCACACTCAAAAGACATGCTGGTAGGTTAATTGGAGCCTATCTAAATTTGCTCTACTATGTGTATGTATGAATGTAAGATAAGGACTTTAGATTGTACACCCCTTGAGGGTTAGAGACTGATGTGAATGTACAATATATATGTAAAGCGCTGCGTAAATTGACAGCACTATATAAGTACCTGTAATAAATAAATAAAAACTGCAAAGCCTTTGCTTTGTCCATTTCCTGCAGAGCTGGTGGGCAGGACCTATTACGCGCATCACTCAGAGAAGCCCTGTTAGAACTAGCTCTCATTTGAGGCCTACAGAAGACATGAAATACCGGCATGACTACATCACTCAGTTGATCTATAGGAAGGTGATGCAGAAGTAGGGTGACAATGCACTTTGAGAAGAACTTTTGTTTTTGACCATCCAAAGAAAATGCTGCAGAGAGGGTGATGCAGAAACATCAGGTAGAAGCAGGGTATAAAAGGGGAATAGGACACTGGATATTTTATTCAAGTTAACATCAAGGAATGAACGATTGATAAATAAATGTAAAGGATTTTGCCTGGAAATGCACTTCCCCATTCTTCAGGGCTTAAAGAAACGAAGTAGGAATTTATGCAAACTCAACAATCAATGAATAATTAAGTGTTCTAAAATTGGGCGAGTTTGCACTGCATCTGTCAAGCAGTGGGTAAAAACAGCTACTTATTCATTGAATTTTGCATCTGCATAATTTTTATTTTTGCTTCTTCAAAGTCTGATGAAGGGGATGGAGTTTAGGTCCCAGAATGAGCTGGATTTTGTAAGTAACTGGTCTTTGGAAAAAATGTACATCTAGGGTTTGAACATTACATTGTGGCACTCCAATACTTGACTCATCACAATCCAAGGTGATCGTTGAAGGTACCAGTCCAATATCCAGATTGTCCATAGTCATACCAACATCATACTATACATAAATAACAGTACAAAGTTAACATATAATAAAACTCCAGGGTTCCAGCAATTTTGACTCCCTTTCATTAATATGCACTAAAATAGTCACTGATGGTCATTTTCGTCTTACGAATCACCCATCTGGGTTCATACTCCCCTTCTGAGACGCTAGGTGACCCCTCATGTTTCACTCATCCGAGTGCACGCTCACCTTCTGTGAGGCCCCTCTTATGCATGTCCTGTCCAAGCTCACAATCACCTACTGGAGGCCAGGTGTCCCCTCTCATGCATCTCCCAATTGAGCTCATGCTTACCTTCCGGGAGGCCAGGATCTGTTTGAGCAGGGTGTGGAAATATTGCTGCTGTGAGCTGACATAACGCTTGTACTGGGACTTCAGACAGAGCTGGCGGTACTTCACTACTTCTGGGTTCAAGTGGCCATCTATCACAAAGAAAAGGAGAGAGATTGTGTACTATGCATATTTCTGCTTTAGATTTTTTTGTAGAGGTCTGCTTATGTGAGTTAAAACATAAAAAAGTTTACCCAAAAAGTACCAAATAAAATCCACTAATGAAGTTTTTCCACTGCACTCAAGTCTTCTATTGTGGATCACTTCCTCCACTGGCCAAGTCCTAACACCAGGAGGAGGTTCTACCTCCCCCCCCCCCCCCCCCCCCAACTGCCGACAAAGCCAGAGAAAAACAGCTGACAGCAAACCTTGAAGTCTATTGCTTGCAAAACTATTTCTTCAGGAGAACTGCCCGAGACCTCCTCCTCTGACACCTTTCACCTACACTGGGCTTAATCTACAAACAAGTATTGGACTTCAAGGTGTACTGCCAGCTGTTTTTCAATATGTAAAACACAATAGGCCTCAATTCCCAAAGATGCATAACATTTTATTTATCCTGCTTTATAAGAAGTGTTCATTTATATCATATAGATAATATCTTAAATTGTTACATCTCCAATTATTGACCCCGGGCACCGGAGATCTCTCTATCCACACACATTATGTCTTTTACACTTTTCATATACATTTTCGCATTGGCATTCTTATAGTTTAGTATATCTTCCTTTATCTTTATGGTCCATTTTCCCCTTGTTAATGCCAAGAGAAAATGGGTTCTTTCAGTACTCCTACATTTACATATGGGAGGAATTATCACAAAAAATTAAGGTTCTCCTAGTCCCTCTGTTTGGTAATGGGGGTGGGTGGATCACACTGATGGACCCATAGGCCCCTTTATGTGCAATTAATATGCATTATTTAGATATTCACACCATTTGTTTTTTATATATGTACTCAATTGTTTGTTGGAGGCGGTGGGCCCACAGCAAAGGGGTATCTTTTAAATTAAATTTTATTTTAAATTAAATTTTTATAAAAATATTTTTAACCATATATTTGGGTGCACAGTGTTCCAGGGCTCCAGAAATATGGCGCCGGTTGATATATTTGTATTACCCCTAATGTATTGAACATTTATGGTTCATTAACACCTTTTTGGTCTGGTCCCCCTAATCAAGTATTTTGCATTTATGGTTTGCATTTATGGTTTAGTACATATTTGATACAGGACTGTAGAGTTGTTAGCGATTGACCACAATATCATGGTGGCCGTCCAAATTCCCATCACCATGGCGACCACAGTGATATGTGCTGGGAGCCTGGGTACGATATATCAGTGCTGCTGGGTTGTCAGTTCTCTGGGCAAAGGTCTCTTGAGCTGAGTGCTTGGCAGATGAATAGATACACTTGGTGTCTGGAGTAATTTGCCGGGTTTCTGATGTGAACATGACCAATAGCGGCCGCCTGAACCACAACAAAATGGCGACAGCTAGTATTAGCAACCTAGTGCAATACAGCATGAAACCAACCACAACAATATGGCGGCTGTCGGGACCACAACAAAATGGCGACTGCCAATTAACACCGATTAATATCAGGGTTTTGGATGGTATATATAGCCATCCAGGGGAGCACTCCAGCTCCGCTTCTGATTGACGTCATGCGACAAAACGCATAGGGCGGAGCTTGACAGCGCCACTTTTGTCTCTTGAGAGGGATTACAGGGCATTTCAATGTCCTAGGATTTTAAAGTGCCATACACATGCTTTACATGTAAATGCATTTTGAAGTGTTTTTTACTTAATAAAAATTGTATTACGCTATGGAAGCTTTCCTTTGATGTTTTTCAAGGCGGTGGAGGAGTATTGTGGATGGTCTGGAGTGTTTGCACATATGGAGTCCATAACCAGTGGATAGAGGCGTCAAGATTATACAGGCAGCTGATCGCTGTAGGGGCTTGCTGAAGCACCAAACGGTCAGTTTGACCTACCTATGCAAGTGGTCAACATCTTGTGGTGAGTGGGGCTCTGGAGGGGGAGCACGAAGTGGAGCACTCAACACAAAGATCTTTACGGATAAGAAGATTGATCACTGAATCACACTGTAGCACTTGGGAAGTGAATGTGGAAAGTGTTTCATACTGGGACTTTAAATATTCGCACACAAGTGTACTGCATATATGTTTATTAATTATATACCTAATTTTATTGAAATTGGTTCATATTGGGAGGACTGTCCATGATTGTTGTATTATTTGCACAATCATAGTACAGTATATCGCATTGGACTTACGTACGCATAGTATATAGATATGTATACTTTCCCCTAACCATAGGGATGCATAGAGGCCCTGGGGAGGAGGGTGCATATAAAGGCATAGTATGTTTACATGGTAACAATCACGATTGAAGTGGCACAGATAGCAATTTTTAGCATTTAAAACCACAAGTGGCAGCGCAGCATTTATACACATTGTTAATTTACAACTTACAGTGGTATTACAACAGAGTCAGCATTATTTAATCAGCCATCATAAAATAAATGTAAAAAACTATTCCCTGCATAAGTTACCACTCTTTAAAGAATATCCGAAGCCAAAACCTTTTCTTTTCTACTTTGGGTGGAGTAGGGAATAATAAGAATCCCTGTCATGTTTCTATTACCATCTGTGACCCATCGGGGAGATTTACATACACTTCCTGTCCTGGAGACACAATGAGAGAAAATCCTCTCAGATAGCGGTTACCTGAACAAAATTTCTCTTCTATTCCTGTTCTGGTGACAACTGAAAATTTTAGATTTCCTATCACTTTCTGTCTCAATGAGATAGATCACCAGGAAAAAAGAGTGAATCTCCCTAACACCGAAAGCAGCAAAAACACGACAGAGGTTCTAAGCTTCTGGTGCCAAACCTGTGGCATGAAGGCTATGTGTTGCCCTTTAGTACTTACTGTGCAGCCACTGGGCCCCACCAAGCAGTAGTCCATGTGTTCCTTGCTTATGTGCTCACACAGGGACAGTAAAGGAAAATATGTATTAAACTACCATATTTTCCGGTGTATAAGGCGACTGGGTGTATAAGACGACCCCCTAATTTTCCAGTTAAAACATAGGTTTTGGGCTATACTCGCGTATAAGACTACCCCCTTCCGAGGCAACACCATTTAAAAACATCAGATTTTTTAACTGAAATGGTTATGACTTACCAGTACTTAAAATCCTTCAAAATCCTCATGTTCATCCTCTGACATCATAAGTTCATGAATGACATCTTGTGATACATTTGTAAGACAGTCATCATATGGATATACAGCCCGCTGGATGTGCAGTAATGTACATACAGTATACCGCGCTGAGCCAAGCTGGCTCAAAACAAATGTCCCTATGACAGATTAATCTGTCAGCCCGCTGGATGTGCGGTATATACAGTATACTGACCCAAGCGGTTTCAAAACGTACCAGTACGGTATACGCTGGGCCAATCACGTAAAGCGATGTATTCTACTAATGAATACAAAGCCTGCTCGGATTGGCTGAGGTTGTGACATCATCAGCTCACCTCTCTGACTCACCCAATCCGAGCAGGCTTTGTATTCATTAGTAGAATACATCGCTCGCCGTGATTGGCCCAGTGTATACTGTATGTAGCCGCAGCTACCGTACATACCACGCATCCAGCGGTGTGATTACAGTAGGGACGTACCGGTACGTTTTGAAACCGCTTGGCTCAGCGCAGTGTACTGTATATACCGCACATCCAGCGGGCTGACAGATTAATCTGTTATAGGGACATTTGTTTTGAGCCAGCTTGGCTCAGCACGGTATACTGTATGTACAGTATTACCACACATCCAGCCAGCTTGACCCAAACAAACTCAAGGTTCACATTTTATACCCCGCGTATAAGACGACCCCAAATTTTTGGGGTATATTAAGTATAAAAAGTAGTCTTATACGCCAGAAAATACTGTGGATTCTACCATCTAGTTTTCTTTTTGTGTTTTTTTTTTTTTATATTTATATCCAGTCAATTTTCAAAAGTACTGTAGGAAGGCCTGCATGTAATAGCAGTGTTATGTAGCATGCCCGCAGTCTCTAACCATCTACTGCAGTATGTCTCTGACAATCTTCTACAGCATTACATACCCTGTAAATTTATGAGTAGCCCTTTGGTGAGGATGTTATGGGCTGTACTTGAGGCCCCCTAAATCGAAGAGGTTGACCACCACTGTTGGAAACCCCAATCACACCATCCAAAACTTAAAAAAAAAAAAAAAAAAAAAAAAAAGCTTGGCTCGCGAAACAATTTCAAACATTGACTTCAGGCTGATGAGAATTGTTCGTTTCAATGAAGGGTCTACTGTGGAGAAAACAACATGTGACCGACATAGAAAGAAGGCCCTACCTCGGAAGAGCTTCTGCGCAGTTTGAAGTGGGTTGCTGAAGCGGAAATTATCTCCCCGGAATAGAGCTTGGATGATGTCGTCCTGCTGGCGGGTGTTGTCCTCCGGGAAAGAAGGCAGAAACTGCCTGAGATGTTCCCGCTGAGAGTCAGACAGGACGTTCTTCCACGTATCCATACTGACCACATCGAAAAACAACTCGGGCTGGGGGGGCAAGTAGAACAAAAGTTATCATATAGAAAGGGTGGAGAGGTGGATGAACACCACAAATTCCAACCATGAGCTCCACAACATCTGCAGGTAACTGGACTGGTTTCTTTTTAAAGTGCATATATAGACTTTTTTGTATGTGGATAGAGTAGGGATGGATATAACCTCTGTTGGTTTTCTGTTTGCTGTCTTGTCCATTAGGATGATTTTCCTTCACTTCCTGTCATTGAGACACAAAAGGAAGTATGAGGAAATCTCCCCTAATTGAAGAAAAATCATCTTAGACAGTTATGACCAGAACAGAGCACAACTACACCATGTTCCAAATTATTATGCAAATGATATTTTTCTCATTTACCTAAATAATTGATGTAAATAATAGTCAGCATAATTCTTATGTTATCAACTATTAAGAGTACAATTCAAATGTTATTGAACAAACCTCCTAATGATAATAGGATTTTTTTTAAACATAAAACACTTACAATGCACTGTTCCAAATTATTACGCACAGTAAGTTTCAAAACACTTTATAGGTTGTAAAGAACTGAAAATTGTCATTTGTTGTGTTTGCAGAATATTTACTGAAATCAAAAGCTATTTCAATCAAACTTTTTAAACATTTTAACAGGTCACGTTACATTTTAACATAGGACCCCTTATTTGATAGCAGCTTCACAAGTCTTGCATCCATTGAACTTGTGAGTTTCTGGACAGTTTCTACTTGAATTTGTTTGCAAGATGTCAGAATAGCCTCCCAGAGCTGCTGTTTGGATGTAAACTGCCTCCCACCCTCACAGATCTTTTGCTTGAGGAAAGGTTCTCAATAAAGGATTGAGGTCAGGGAAGGATGGAGGCCACACCATGACTTTCTCTCCTTTTATCCCCATAGCAGCCATTGATGCAGAGGTATTCTTTGCAGCATGAGATGGTGCATTGTCATGCATGAAGAAGATTTTATTACGGAAAGCGTAGTTCTTCCTTCTGTACCAGTGGAAGAAAGTGGTCAGTCATAAACTCCACATACTTTGCAGAGGTCATCTGTACACCTTCGGGGGCTTTAAAGGGGCCGACCAGCTCTGTTCCCATGATTCCAGCCCAAAACATGACTCCACCACCGCATTGCTGACGTCGCAGCCTTGTTGGAACAGGGTGGCCGTCCACCAACCATCCACTACTCCATCCATCTGGACCATCCAGGGTTGCACGGCACTCATCAGTGAACAGGACTGTTAGAAAATTAGTCTTCATGTATTTTTCTGCCCAATGCAGCTGTTTCTGCTTGTGAGCATTGGTTATTGGTGGCCGAATAGAAGGTTTATGCACAGTTGAAAGACTCTGGAGGACTCTACTCCTTGATGTCCGTGGGACTCCAGAGGCACCAGCAGCTTCAAATATCTGTTTGCTGCTATGTAATGGTATTTTAGCAGCTGCTCTCTTGATCCGATGCATGGATCTGGCAGAAATCTTCCTCAATGTGCTTTTATCTGCACAAACCCGTCTGTGCTCTGAATCAGCCACAAATCTCTTAATAGTGCGATGATGACGCTTAGGTTTTCATGAAATATCTAATGTTTTCATACCTCGTCCAAGGCATTGAACTATTTCACTCTTTTCGGCAGCAGAGAGATCCTTTTTCTAACCCATATTGCTTGAAAATGGTGCCCTGCTGAATAATGTGGAACACCCTCCTTTAGTAGTTTTTCCTTAAATTGGGCTCACCGGCCAATCTAATTATCAGAGGTGTCCGAGATTGTTTTCAGTGATTAAAAGAGCCCTGATACACAATGCCATCCATGAGTTAAACTGAAAAACTAAATATTTAATCTTTGTGACACTTAAATAGAATTTGCATAATAATTTGGAACGCGGTGTAGACTGTGCCTCCCCCAGTGAGGACACAGCAATAAAAACCTGATGAGGTCTAACTCTTTCCACTCCATCAAAAGCTATCAGTACATTGGGGCTCAGCACACACATATGACCACTCACATCCTCCAGCAGGTCTTCAGGAAGGTTGACTCTGGTTCCTCCCAGCAAACACTCCTCCATGATGGGAACCCTACGGTTATCCACACCCGACCCCAGATCCAGGGGGTCATTCAGCATTGAGTCCAGAGGATCCATGACTGATTATCTGGGGAAGGAGACAAGGAATCGGGAAATAGTGAAAAATTATGCCGGGGACAGAGGAAATAAATCTGCACTTCTAGTGATAGTTCCCACCCGCTCCGTAACTCTTTTGCCACCCTTGCAGCACAGCTAGCAAGAAAGCACAGAGCACACGTGACATGGAACACATGCAACACAGAGCACACAACACAATTATTGATTAAAGTGGTTGTAAAGGCTAAAGGTGGTCTGCTATTTGGGGCACTGAAAGAGGAGTCAGGAGAGCCAGCGTGGGACCCAAGAAGAAGTGGATCTTGGGCTGCTCTGTGAAAACCATTATAAAGAGCAGGTAAGTATGATGTAGTTGTTATTAAAATAAAAAAAAAAACACACACCTTTACAATCACTTTAATGTGGTTCTAAAGTCAAACGTTTCTTTTTACCTTAAAGTGATTGTAAAGCTTTTATTTTTTTAAAAATTTAAATAACAAACATGTTATACTTACTTGCTCTGTGCAATGGTTTTGCACAGAGCAGCCCTAATCCTCCTCTTCTGGGGACCTCCGCCAGTGCTCCTGGCTCTTTTTCAGTGAGTGGCCCTATAGGAAGCCGCTTTCTATCACGGCACTCAAATATGCTCACTCCTGAGCCCAATTGCACTACTTCCATTGACACAGACAGCAGTGCTTGACTCTGCTCCCTCATCATAAGATTTGATTGACAGAACCAGAAGTTAAAGGCTCCCGCTGCTGCCTCTCTGTCCTATGAAAGCTGCTGCTCTCGAGAACAATCCTGGATCAAAATTGGGCTTAGGTAAGTAGAAGAAGGGGCATTGGGGGGGGGGGGGGCCCAGTCACAGAAGGTTTTTTACCTTAATGCAAAGAATGCATCAAGCTAAAAAACCTTCCACTATACCTTCCTAAATACTTACCTTAGTCCTGTATTGATCCACCACTGTGACCATCTGCAGCAGCTCTGGTTCTTGCTCTCCCCTCTCACAGACTCAGTGGCCACTGGCTCCCACTGTTGTCATTTAAATACTGTGAGGAGTGGAGGGAGTGAGTGGGGGCTGGGGCCAAGCCACATTGTGTATGTATATACAGTGAAAGAAAGAAGTATTTGATCCCCTGCTGATTTTGAATATTTGCTCACTCACAAACAAATGATCAGTTTAAAAATCCAATGGTAGGTGTATTGTAACATTGAGACACAGAATAGCAACAAAAAATTCAAAAGAAATGCATGTCTAACAAATTATGCACTGATTTGCATGTTCATGAGGGAAATAGGTATTTGATCCCCTTTACAAAACATGACTTAGTACTTGGTGGCAAATCCCTTGTTGGCAATCACAGAGGTCAGACGTTTCCTGTAGTTGGCCACCAGGTTTGCACACATCTCAGGAGGGATTTTGGCCCACTCCTATTGGCAGATCCTCTCCAAGTCATTAAGGTTTGGTGGCTGACGTTTGGCAACTCGAACTTTCAGCTCCCTCCACATATTTTCAATCGGATTAAGGTCTGGAGACTGGCTAGGCCAGTCCAGGACCTTAATGTGCTTCTTCTTGAGCCACTCCTTTGTTGCCTTGGCCATGTGTTTTTGGTCATGGTCATGCTGGAACACCCATCCGCCACCCATTTTCAATGCCCTGGCTGAGGGAAGAGGGTTCTCACCCAAGATTTGATGGCACATTGCCCCGTCCATCGTCCCTTTGATGCGGTGCAGTTGTCCTGTCCCCTTAGCAGAAAACCCCCCCCCAAAGCAGAATGTTTCCACCACCATGTTTGACAGTTGGGATGGTGTTCTTGGGGTCATAGGCAGCATTCCTCCTCCTCCAAACACGGCGAGTTGAGTTGATGCCAAAGAGCTTGATTTTGGTCTCATGTGACTACAACACTTCCAAACAGTCCTCCTCTGCATCATTCAGATGTTCAGTGGCGAACTTCAGACGGGCCTGGACATGTGCTTTCTTGAGCAGAGGGACCTTACGGGCACTGCAGGATTTCAATCCTTGTCGGTGTAGTGTGTTACCAATTGTTTTCTTGGTTACTGTGGTCTCAGCTGCCTGGAGATCATTGACAAGATCCTCACGTGTAGTTCTGGGATGATTCCTCACTGTTCTCATGATCATTAACACTCCACGAGGTGTGATCTTGCATGGTGCACCAGACCTAGGGAGACTGACAGTTGTTTTGTGTTTCTTCCATTTGTGAATGATTGCACCAACTGTTGTCACCTTGTCACCAAGCTGCTTGGCGATAGTTTTGTAGCCCAGTCCAGCCTTGTGTAGGTCTACCATCTTGTCCCTGACATCCTTGGACAGCTCTTTGGTCTTTGCCATGGTGGAGAGTTTGGAATCTGATTGATTGCTCCTGTGAACAGGTGTCTTTTATACAGTTAACAAATGAGATTAGTAGCACTCCCTTTAAGAGACTTCTTCTAATCTCGGCTTGTTACCTGCATGAAAGACACCTGGTAGTCAGAAATCCTGCTGAATGATAGGTGATCAAATACTTATTTCCCTCATGAACATGCAAATTAGTGCATCATTTGTTAGACATGCATTTCTTTTGAATTTTTTGTTGCTATTCTGTCTCTCAGTATTACAATACACCTACCATTCAATTATTAGACTGATCATTTCTTTGTGAGTGGGCAAACATTCAAAATCAGCAGCGGATCAAATCGTTATTTCCTTCACTGTAGACACACACAGCCTGGTTCAGGAGTGAGCCCGCAGATGCCCCATCATAGCAAGTGGCTTCCTTGTACACAGAGACAGGGAGGAGCCAAGAGCACCAGCAAGGGACCCCAGAAGAGGAGGATCGGGGCTGCTCTGTGCAATACCCTTACACAGACCAGGTAAATAAAACATATTTATTATTTAAAAAATACATACAGACACATATATATATATATTTATACTTTACATCCGCTTTACGTGTCTTTTTTAACCGATTGCTGTAATTCTCACTCTCTCAGATCAGTGAAACAGAAAGGAATTCTTTTTTTTATATATAAACAATATTTGCTGCACAGATTCAAGCCATGCTGGAGGTTACAGCCCCTCTTTGTGGTAGGACATGCTGAGAGTTATAGTCCCCCTACCCTACTCTCTGCAAAGGCATGCTGGGAGTTACAGTCCCTCTCTCTTTTCAGGATATGATGGAAATTGTAACTCTCCTCTGTCTACAAGACATGCTGGGTGTTCTAGTCCCTCTCTCTCTGTAGACAGCATGCTGGGAGGTACAGCTCCACTCTCTTTCTCGGTACAGGGCATGCTGAGAGTTATAGTCCCTCTCTCTGTACAGGACAAACCGGGAGTTATAGTCTCTCTCTCTCTCTGTACAGGGCATGCAGGGAGTTATAGTCCCCCTCCCTCTCTCTGTACAGGGCATGCTGGGAGTTATAGTTCACCCTCTCCCTGTAAAGGGCATGCTGGGAGTTATAGTTCACCCCTCTCCTGTAAAGGGCATGCTGGGAATTATAGTTCACCCTCTCCCTCTGTACAGGGCATGCTGGGAGTTATAGTTCACCCTCTCTCTCTGTACAGGGCATGCTGGGAGTTATAGTCCCCCTCTCTCTCTCTGTACAGGGCATGCTGGGAGTTATAGTCCCCCTCTCTCTGTACAGGGCATGCTGGGAGTTATAGTCCCCCTCTCTCTGTACAGGACATGCTGGGAGTTATAGTCCCCCCTTTCTTTCTCTCTCTCTCTCTGTACAGGGATGCTGGGAGTTATAGTCCCCCTCTCTCTCTCTCTGTACAGGACATGCTCGGAGTTATAGTCCACCCTCTCTCTGTACAGGACATGCTGGGAGTTATAGTCCACCCTCTGTACAGGACATGCTGGGAGTTATAGTCCCTCTCTCTCTCTGTACAGGACATGCTGGGAGTTATAGTCCACCCTCTGTACAGGACATGCTGGGAGTTATAGTCCCTCTCTCTCTCTCTCTGTACAGGGCATGCTGGGAGGTATAGTCCATCTCTCTGTACAGGACATGCTGGAAGTTATAGTCCCTCTCTCTCTCTGTACAGGGCATGCTGGGAGGTATAGTCCCTCTCTCTCTGTACAGGGCATGCTGGGAGTTATAGTCCCTCTCTCTCTCTGTACAGGGCATGCTGGAAGGTATAGTCCCTCTCCCTGTACAGGGCATGCTGGGAGGCATAGTCCCTCTCTCTGTACAGGGCATGCTGGGAGGCATAGTCCCTCTCTCTGTACAGGGCATGCTGGGAGGCATAGTCCCTCTCTCTCTGTGTACAGGACACGCTGGGAGTTGTAGTCCCTCTCTCTGTACAGGACATGCGAGGAGTTATAATCGTTCTCTCACCTCCTCCAGTCTCCGGTGCTCCGTTGTCTCCTTCTTCGCTTCATTCTTCCCGGTACCGGTTTCCGCTCTGCTTGCCGGAAGTGTCACCCCGGAAACAAACATGTCCACACAATGGTAACACTTCCGGATCCCGGCATGCTGTGGGAGGGGGGAGGAGATCGGGGCAAGCACGATGCCGTCCTTTCAAGAAGTGCACCGCCCTTCTCCCCTCCCCGAGGAGGAGCTCCGTCGTTCTCAGCCCTGTATAGAGCACCGTTTATGTGTATGAGGTCCGTTCACGATGATGTCTGTGGTGCTGAACATACAGAGCACGGTAGCCCTGACACATCCATTGTATGTCATCTGTGAATGACAGCCGGCCATGTGATCAGAGGGCTCAGGATCAGCCATGTGATCAGAGGGCCCAGGATCAGCCATGTGATCAGGGGCTCAGTGTCGGCCATGTGATCAGAGGGCTCAGTGTCGGCCATGTGATCAGAGGGCTCAGGGTCGGCCATGTGATCAGAGGGCTCAGGGCCATGTGGTCAGGGGCCCAATGTCAGCCGGCCATGTGATCAGAGGGCTCAGTGTTGGCCATTTGCTTAGAAGGCCCAGGTTAGCTGGCTATGTGATCAGAGGGCTCAGGATCAGCCATGTGATCAGAGGGCCAGGGTCGGCCATGTGATCAGAGGGCCCAGGGTCGGTCA